GTGCAGTTGGAGGCGGGACTGACTAACATCAGTGGGAAAAGGGCCCCGGGCCAAGGCCGATGCCAGAGACACGGACAGAGTGGTGCCTTCCTTGCGGCTGGACTCCTCCAACTGAGAGAAGCCATAGCCATGTTTTCGAGAGGCTTGGGAAAGCCAGGAGAGGGTTTCACACGACTGAGCGGGCCAGCCGCCACTCTGGCAGCTGCGTAAGGGTCAAGGGTGAATGGCGCTGCATTTGACGTGAGGGTACAGGCTCGTCACCCACCACAGTGATGCCCGGGCCCCGGCGGCGGCGGATGCCCATGTCGATCAAGCCTGGCAGTGAGGGGGCGCCCGAGTGAGGGGCTCAGAGGTCTGGCCCCGGAGCCGGCTGTGCGGCCTGCCGTCCGGCTCCACGGCGAGCGGCCCTGCGGCCCCCTCGGGCTCCAGACCGGAGAAGTGGGGATGAGTAGGCTTCCTGCGGCACTGGGCAGGTAAACCGGATGGCCCTCGAGTGGGGCCTAACGCACACTCAGGAAGCGCAGCTCCCTTCTGTTTCTGGGGCCCCGGGGAGCGGCAGGGGGGCCCCGCCCGACCCCCAGCAGCAGAGCCTCTCACCCAGGACAGGCGGCACGGCTTGCCGGGATTGGGCAAACAGAATAATAAAAAGTTGCTCTTACCACAGCTGAGGGGCTGCCAAGGACTTCAAACATTAAGAACAGCTCAGTGTTGAAGTTCCAAAAAGAGCAGCGGCAGCGAGCGTTCCTCAGAAAAGCAGGGAGGTAGTGAAGTAACTTCGGTGTGTCTTACATAACACAGCCCAAAGCATTTTCCAGAAGGTTCCTCACTTCCCACCCAAACAGTCTGGGGAGATGGCTTCTCCACCAACAGCTCTAGCTTTAGGGGTTCCTGGTTCCTGCTGGGGCTTCCCGAACGCTGAGAGCTACAGGAACCACGTGCCACTTTTACTGCCCTCAACAGCTGCCCTGGCATTTTCACATCTCATCTTAGAGAGAAACAATCAGCAACGGGGCAAGCGTTCAGGTCTTCCAGTGTCACCAGCTTGCCCTGAGTGATGCCGGGGGTCCTGGATCAACCCACCCCACCCCACGGTGCTGGCCACCTCTGCTGCACCACCCAGTCGGGCCCCACATTGGGAACGCAGCCCCATGGACCTGACCTGCAGAAGCATGAGGGAGGGAGCCTGGGACCTTTAAGGCACGGGTTGTGTGGTAACTGATTACAGTGGCCACAGTGAACTGACATGTGGGGGCACGTGTGGCTGGCGATGGGTCTACATTTCTGGGCTTTTCCCCACCACGTCAGATCAGCCGTCAGAGGGTGGGGGGCACCCCTCGGGGAGAAGCGGTGGCCTCTTAGCGTTGCACCCTCCAGGGCGGTGCGTCTGAGGAGGCCGGACGCTGGCTGTGGGCAGCTGCTGCCCTGTGACCATGGCCCCAGGGGGCCCCGCGGCTCAGCTGCCGGCACGTGCCTTTCCCGTGAAGATATCGTTCCTGAAAACAGTCCCTGCGCTGATTTCATTTTACAGATGAGCAGCACAGAGCTCGGAGCTGCCCTCTGTGTCCCAGGGCTGACCCTGTCTCCTGCCGTGCAGAGGAAAGCCGCTGCTCCTTCATCAGTGGCCCCCCGGCCCCGCCGGAGAAGCATGAGGCCTCTCAATTCTGCTCTAGTGGGGCTGCTCTCAGGAGGCAGGTCCCCCAGCCCTGGGTGTATGACTGTCCTTCTCAAAACCGTGGGCCCTCCCCTCTAGGCCCCTCAGAGTCACTCCTTCTCTGGCCTGGGTGCTGACTTTACCGCTGACCCTCATAAGGGAGGGCTCACATTCACATCCATGTGGGGAAAGGGGCAACTTGGGGCACAGAAGAGATTTTACTCACCTCACAATTTTGCAAAAGAGAACGTGAAGCTAGTGTCTACTAGAATCAAGCTGTAAGGAGAGAAAGCATGTGTAGTGGGCTGAACAGTGCCCTCCACCCCAACGTAAGTCCATTTAGAACCTCCGAATGTGATCTTACTGGGAATAAGGGTCTTTGCAGATGCCACTGATTTAAGGCTCTCAGGATGAAATCCTCCTGGATTATCCGGGTGGGCCCTAAATCCTCTGACAAGTGTCCTTATAAGAGGCAGAAGAAGAGACGGGAGAGGCCACGTGAAGGTGGAGGGAAGTTGGAGTGATGCGGCCACGAACCAGGAAATCCCCCCAGAGGCTGCAAGAGGCAGGAAGGGCGCCCCCCTAGCGCCTCTGGAGTGGCCCTGCCCACACCTGGATTTGGGACTTGGGGCCTCCAGCCTGTGAGAGAGCAAAGGTCTGCTGTTTGAAGCCCCCAGTCTGTGGTCCCTTGTGGTGCAGCCCTGAGACACAAACACCACTCTCCAGAGTGCTCAGCTCTGCCCCTGCCCCACCGTGGTATAGTGTGCGGGGGTCCCACCCAGCTTCCTGGCGGGCGGCAGCATCCGGCTCTCGTGGCCCCTTCCCGCTGGATCAGGGATGGCAGGAGCATGGAGGCCACACTAGAACCCACAGGTTGGGATTTAACGGGACCTCAACAGGTTTGCCTGCGCTCAAGAATCCACAGTGCGCAGGGTCACCCCAGCCTCACACTGCATATCCCCAAAAAGGAGCAAAGAATGGGGGAGGAAAGGAGCCGTGCTGCAGAGACCTCTGCCCCCCGGAACTGAGGACAAGACGGGCCCATTCTGTGTCTGAGGCGGGTGTGGCCGGCGCGCTGCCAGACGGAGACCCCACCTGGGGCACCGGCACCGTCTCTCCGGCAGAGCCACGGCCCGGAGGAGCCCACAACCTCACACAGGGACATTCCTCTGGAAAACAACAAATAAGGTGTGACAGTGTCTAACAGAGCCTGGCGGACACTGGCACAGAAAGGCCAGACTCCTTAGCTGCTCGTGTGGCCCACATCCCTTTATGCACAAAACAAGAAGTGATCCGAGAAAGCAGAAACCCTTTCTCTCTGCTCGCCAGGGGCTGCTGACACGGGGGCCCTGGGCGGCGCGGACTCCAGGCCAGGGCTGGGACAGCGGCGAGGGGCCCTGGGCGGTGTGGGTTCCAGGCCAGGGCTGTGTAGGCTCAGCACCCAAGGGTGCAGCCAGGTAGGCCTCGCAGCCCACCCCTCACTCTGCCTGCTGGAGGAAACCCATCCAGAGTAGAACATCCTGCCAGAACTATGGCTTCTGAAAATGAAGAACCTTTTCTCTGTGTTTTGGAATAAGAGGAACGTCTTAGAAACTGAAAGCGTCTGTCAAGGGCAGCTCCACACACAGGTTGCCCCAGTGGCTTCCACGTTGCTAAATGGATCCCAGAAAGGGCCCTGTACACCAAGGAGAGTTCACAGTCTTGCTTGCAAATTAGTAATTCACATGGACCAGGAACCAACCATTCTCCTTCCTCACCTCCCCCTTGGAAGTTAATTCTGGTCATACAAGGGATTGGGGGTGAAGACTCGGTCATTCTCCGGGAGCTTCCCTGAGCTGCGCAGCACGTCTGCTGAGCCGGCTGACACTGAGCAAATCAGCTGGCTCTCCAGGAAAGTCTCTTTTCCTAGGTGGCGCTTCTCAAAGGGCACTTGGGAGACACGGAACAGAGCAAGGTCATGAAATGTAAATGCGTTTTCCACTGTAGATTTTGAAGCTGTGTTTAACAATGAAGTTCTGATCGCAGGGACTTATCCAGGGAGTAGTTCTAGAAAAAGAGAGGCAGGGAATCCTGGCACGGGATTCTGCCTTTCCAAAACTTTCGTGCCACCACTGCACATAATATGCACCTGAGGCCCATGGAGGGCAATCCAAGACGCCAAGACCCACTTGTTGTGGACAAATTCTAAAATGACATTGATGTCTGTGTCTGTGGCAAACACCCACAGTGACACAACACAACACAACACACGCAGAAATCACCATGTGTCGGGAGGGGACGGTCACTCACCTCACGCCCTCAGTTACGAAGGGACTGCGCAAAGCAGACAGAGTGGTGCCACAGACCATTTCCTTACCCTAAAAACACCCAGATCCTACTAGGGTATGCTTGACTTGCTCTCGATGACCCAGGACGGGCAGGCAGCCAGCCCCCTACCCTTCCAACGCCTGGACCCTCCTGGCCGCGCACCTGGGCATTCACCACCAGTGTGTTCTGCAGGGGAGAGCATGCTGATGGCACTGGCCCCGCGGCCTCTGAATGGTCAGGACAGCCTTGGGGGGCTCAGGACAGAGCAGTGCTCAGAGGCGTCTATGTCGCACCCCTCCCAGCCGGGGACGGGTCCGACCTGACAGCTTTCCCAGCGAGGCTGCTCTAGAATCAATACCAGGCTCCTGCAGCCATGACCCCACCCAACCCCGCAGCCCCTACCCACCTGACCCCTCAGCGAAGCGCTACTTTTCTGGGGCACAGAGCCTAACCGCAGAAGACACAACACACGCAGAAATCACCATGTGTCAGGAGGGGACCGTCACTCACCTCACGCCCTCAGCACTCACATGGGATGGGCATGAGGAGCTGGCCCACTCTCCTGGGTGGCCGCCAAGTCTCTGGGACAGGGGAGGTACCAAACCCCAGCACTGCCTGGATGGTGCAGGCGGGCTGGCCGAGGACTGTGGGCAATGGGCTTCTCTGCATGGATCCTGCCACTACTTACATCATGGATTATCTATTTCTCCCCCAGAGGAAACATGTAAAATCTGGGGGCACCAGTCACTGGAGCTGTATCTGTTCATGGGACATTTTAAGAGGGGTTTATGGCGCTCCTCAGTAGCATAAAGGCCCCAAACACATCTAAATTACGGGTCTTACCAGATGAAAAATCAAACCAACAAATCCTAGCCTCACAGATGCATCAACAAGAACAAAGTGCAAGACTGGCTTCCCGTTTCTCTTGGCAAACGGGCAGACACCAGGGCGCTGGCGACACTGGGTGCGAACCACAAGCAAATTGGCAAAGAGAGCCAGAGAGCCAACGGCCACCCGCGTTCTGTCAGCAGAGTCCCGTTACCTTTTCTGATCTTGTCGTGAAAGTTAATGGCGTCCACGGAGGCAGTGACTATGTTGGTCTTGCAATGACGTGCAGCCACAATCCCAGCCACCTCGTCCATGAGCTTCATGGTGACACCTGCACAGAGAAGGGGCATGTGGCAGGTCAGACACGGTGAGGCTACTTCCTACCCTGGAAACCAGTCATAAGAGACAAAGCCCTCCCACTACCTGCCGGTGGGGACCACAACCAGCACAGGGTACGGGGGTGCGTGATCGGGGCATTGTTGAAGCCCATGCTGAGAACCTGGCTTCTTTAGGAATTTCTGAAAACGACCACAGCTGATGATGGTCTAGGCCACTAACAAAATGACAATCCTTTTCCTACCCTCTCCAGGTACCTTATGCCCCCAGGAAGGTTTTGTTACAAAATCCATGGCATGGCCACATCCAAAGTCAGATCGCAAGTGTCAGTGAGAACATGGAGAAACCAGAACCCTCATGCATCACTGGTGGGGATGGAAACGGTATGGCCGCTTTGGAAACAGTCGGGAGTTTCTCAAAAAGCTAAACGGAGAGTTACCATACGCCCTGGTGATTCTTCTCCCAGGTATGCACCCACGACAACTAAAAACTCATGGTCACACAAAAACTTGTACACGGATTTCATAACAGCGTTACTCACAATAGCCAAAAAGGGGACACGACTCACATGCTCATCAACTGATGAATGGAGGAAGAAAATGTGGCCCATCCATACGGTGGAATATTATCCAACAACAAAAATAAGCAGCACTGACACACACTACAACACACAGGAACCCTGAATACACAATGCTCAGTGGAAGGAGCCAGACCCCAAAGACCAGAGATTGTAGGATTCCCTTTATAAGAAACATCCAGAACAGGCAGATCCGTAGAGGCAGAAAGCAGATTAATGGTTGCTAGGGCTGGGGGACCGGGGTTAAATGGGGAGTGAGTGCTAATGGGTATGGAGCTTCTCTTTGGGGGAATGAAAATGTTCTAACATTGACTGTGGTGATGGTTGTGTAACTGGGAATACACTAAGAATCAAAGACTTGTAATGGTTGGGTTGTATGGCATGTGAATCATCACAATAAAGCCATATCAAACAAACAAACAAACAAACAAACAAGAAAAGCAAGCTCACAGAAGGCCAAGGTGATTTTAAAACCACAGGCTGCAGATACTGGCTTTTGCTCAACTGTACCCTTAATTTGACGGGATCACAACTACACACTTGCTAGTGTCCCCACCCGCAACTCCTGCCCCCCCCAGAACAACACATTCTACTTATTTCATATTTAAACATTTAAACCATGTCTTTTATTAGGCCAAACTACATGAGATTGTCACTATTCAACCATTTTTGACCTGTAAAAGCAGGAAGTGATATCTATCAAACAGCTATCAAAAGTCTTAGAGGGCGCCTGGGTAGCTCAGTCAGTTAAGCATCCAACTCTTGATCTGGGCTCAGGCTATGATCTCATTTTGTGAGATTGTGCCCCGCATCAGGCTCTGTGCTCAGTGGGGAGTCTGCTAGAGATTCTCTCTCTCCTTCTCACTCTGCTCCCCGCACCCCACGTTCTTCTTGCTCTCTAAAAATAAATAAATGAATGAGTGAAAAAAAGAAAGAACTTGAAACTTATGTACATTCACCCTAGGATACAGAATGCTTTCTAAAAATCCAGAGAGAGACAGAAAAACAGATGTCATCCCCCTCATGAAAGCCAGGCTCATGGGGAAGCATGTTTTGTTTTTTTTTTAAGATTTTATTTATTTATTTGAGAGAGAGTGAGAGACAGAGAGCACGAGAGGGAAGAGGGTCAGAGGGAGAAGCAGACTCCCCGCCGAGCAGGGAGCCCGACGTGGGACTCGATCCCGGGACTCCAAGATCATGACCCGAGCCGAAGGCAGTCGACCAACCAACTGAGCCACCCAGGCGCCCCGGGAAGCATGTTTAGGATAAGGCTTGCAGAACCAAACGCCTGTAGGGTCAGGCAGATGGTGTGGGGAGGTGAGCAGGGCCGCTGCCTGGCCCCGCCTACTCCCTCCCACCCCTAGGAATGAGGGCCTCATGCTCCCTGCCTTCTGATGTTTCTAGACAAGACTGGGACCTACACATTTATAAGAAATCTACCAATTTTTAAACATTGGTGGCTAATTAAACTCTCTTTACTGTGTGGGGAAAACAAAATACAACAGAGCTAAAAAGAGCAGAGGTCCCTTCCATACTTGAGGGGCCTCACAAATACAGCAGAAGATGCTACTGACAAGGGACCTGGGAGACAGAGGAACACCTGGGGTCCAGTATACTCTTCTCTCCACTTCTATGCATAGCTGAGCATTTCCAGAATAGAAAGGTTTGAAAAAACACATTCCTGTTCTTGATTAAAAAAGGATGCTTTTATCACTGTGACTTTTTTTGACAGAAGATGCTGCTATATGATGGTAATGATAAATGACCAGATGGGGACGGAGACTGAGCTGCTGCCCGCCGTTTTAAAGGCGCTTTCAGAGAGACTGGCATATTGATCTGCTTCATCCAAGAAGGAGGGGATCGGTATCCTCAGTTTCCAAATTAACAACACAGGCTCTGACACATACCGGTCCGATTCTAAAGACTGTGCAGGTAGAACGCTGGGGAAACAGCTCTTTTGAGAGGAAAGAGTCACAGGTGCCAGGTTTAATCTCCAGGTGACTGAGGCTGGGGGGGGCTCCTGCACGGCAGGGGGTCTCTGGCCTTCAAGCAGCTTGGCTCAGGGGTCTGAGACAAAGGGTCACACTTTGCTTTGCAAGCAGCCTCTGCTGGGTGAAGTTGTTACTGCAAACGGACACAGGCAGCCTTCCCTAAGCCCACCACGAGGCCCTCTGGGTCTTTACCCACAGCAGGGGGCCTCAGCAAAGGTGGGGCAAGTGCAGGCCTGGCAGGGCAGAGGCCCTTCAGCCACGTGCCCAGCCCCCACACTCCAAGGAGGGAAAAACACAAAACACCACCCAGGTAACTCACTGTGCTTGTCAGAATGGACTGCCTCCCTGGAAGGCCACCTCAGCCTCCGGATGAACCGCACAGTGGTGTGAGCACGGCCCTGCCCTCATGGTGGTGCAGGCTTGGACTCTGGGGTCAGACGGAGGGGGCGTCTGACCCCCACTGCCTGGCTGGGGACCCTGGGCAGGCAGATTGCCCTCGGAGCTCTGGATTTTGCTAGTGCTGGTGTGAGAGGTGACGGGCGAGCCCCATGCTGCCCCGCAATGGCACCTACTGCTACGACACGCAGGACTAGTGAAGGTCTGTAAAACCCAACACCAATTTAAATGGAGAGTTTGCAAGAGATCGGACATTTGGAAGATAGAAGAAGAAAGAGAAGTGAAATGTCTCAGAAGGCCAGGAAACACACTGAGTGAGAATCGTACACTTTGCTTAGGGGACAAGGGTGGAGTCCAAGTGATAGCCTCCCCTTACCACATGCAAACCACAGAGGGCACAGAAGCCGGTCTGAGATCCACGGACCACCTCCTGACGCGGTGTGGCTTCAGGGTTTGCATGCATGTGCGGGAGTGTGTGCACGCGGTGGCGGGTGCATGTGTATGCAGGTTCAGGAGTGTGTGCATGCACGTGTGAGGCCATGTATGCGTGTGCATGCATGTGGGGGGGAGCATGTGCGTGAGGGCGTGCACGTGCATGCGTGTGCAAGTACGTTCAGTTCTGCAGAGCGAGTGAGAGTCCACAGACGGAGCTCTCTTGGGTCGGTTTGCCTCACAAAGAATTGAGTTGTTCCAACAGCTGGACAAGCGGCCCCTGCTCACTGGTTTTGAATTCAGAAGGCATTTTCCCACAGACTTACTCTAAGTAGGGTAAGCAAACCTCCTCGGGCAGCCAATAAAAGCTCATCACTACTTCAGTCTGAAGTAGTGTCAAGAGAGGCTGCATTTGCCATGAGACACCACTGCACCAACAATAATGTACATTAAGGAAATAGCAATCCAGAATCTAGGAATAGTTGAACCCAAGAATGATGAAGAGACAGGATTCTGGTAGAAATTACGGAGATGGGGTTTAACTGGAAAACTCAGTTAAAATCCTCCCCCCTTTTTAGCATTCCAGGGAGTGTTCAGGGCATTTTAACGGGAAAATTTTAGACGTTTGTAACAGAATGTGTATTATGTGTGGCTGTCCTTTTCTCAGATGGAGCCACCATCAGGGTCCTTCTGATGAGACAAAGACAAGGAGAGATTTTCGAGAGAAAATGGAGGAGACCGTAAAGTCGGGCCCAGGAGGTGGAACCAAGTGGACGTGTTGTACAGAAGCAATGGTGTCGCTGGGAGCGGTGAGCTGGCCGTGAGCAATAGCTCGGTTTCCCAAGGGGCCGGTGGCACTCGCTTGTGCCAGGTCGGCCCTGGAGGGAGAGAACTGTGTTTTGCTCACGGATGTATCCCGAGTGTCTGCTCCACGGAAGGCTCTCTATAAACACTGAACACAGGAATGAATGAGTGAAGGACGGAGTGACTGGACAGCAGCCCTGGGAGGGAGGCACGTTACTGTCTCCATTTTTCAAAGCAGGAACTGGAGGCACAGAGGTGTGCATCCGAAGGCACGCGCTCGGGGTAGAGTGGGGACCAGCCCCTGGCCACAGGGTGCCAGAGGCCATGCCGCATTACCTGCCTCTTGAACCAGGACCTGCAACCCTGAGATGTGAGGTCGAATTCCTGCCCGAGATAGGATATGAAGAAGAGAGTCCAAGATCATGGCGACAGGTGGGGGTGACAGCAAAATTAGCGTGCTTGGGCATGGAAGGGCAGGAGACCAGAACTGCCAGTGTGAGCCACCAGGCGGTGCCATCAGCTTCCAGGGCTGGGGGGTGGGGAGGAAGGTAAGGAGGTGGAGAAGGTAGAGTCTGAATCGGAAGTAGTGTTTGGAACGCAGGAAGTACCTACCACTAACCCCTTGTTTGTGTGTCCTGAAAAGCAGAAGCCGTCAGAATGGGAGAATAAATAGAAGAAGGGCTTCTTCCCCATTTATCCAAAATGCAGGAAGAGATTCCACAAGCGACTTCACTGTTACTAAAAATATCATAGGACCCCAGCGTGCGCGGACCAGGATCAGCTCTGAGCCCAGGG